AGTATATGACATTGCAAGCGTGGAGAAGCTTGTCAAAGGAATCATAGTTTGTAGGAATCAAATACCAGCTACAGTGACTGTCAGAAAAGCCGTGAATAAAGAGACCAAAACCATCATTAGACCATTTATAAATATCACAGTTGTTTCTCCAAGTATTGACCAAGTCAGCTGGATAAGTAGGCCTGTTTTGTAATAGAAACCATTTAAATTGGTGCACAAAAGCTGGGTCATTTGAAGGAGGAACAAAACTAATTGGGGGTCCAGAAATTTGAGCATCTCTCTTCCCAAGCATGACAAAACATCTCCTGGTGAAAGCATCCACATCAGATTCCAAGTTGTCCAGACCAATGTTCAATCTTCTTTTTTTTGTGAATTCTTGATCTCAGGGTCATCAAAGGGTTTTCAGGATCAACAGCCAAAACCGCATTGCCATGTTGATAATTTGCCAAGTTTAAGGAGTCTACATTCAGGTCCTTGTCAAGCTCTGAAGCCTTCCTTTTTGAAGCATTGCCTTTAGAGCCAGAATGATATCCTTCCTCCAATGGTTTTGAGTAGCCAAGAAAGTGTTCATTCCTTTTCGAGAGACATCCTGTAAAGGAGTGGGTTCAAGTTCATTGATACTAATATCATTCTTTGATGGTTGGTTCAAAAAAGAACTATATTGATCCTTTAGCAAAGCTAAATCCTCATCCAAGAGTTCATTAACAAGAGCATTAATCTGATTCCAGTCATTTGGGGGAACCACATTAGAGAAAGGATGATTATCCTGTTGTTGAAAGCAAGCCTCACTATGATCATCATGGTTAGCCACAATCACCATATCATCAGAATAAGATGAGTGAACATCATCATGATGAAAAATAAAGAAGCTCTGTCCCGCATCATCCACAAAGAGGTTATCAGGTGTTGATTCAAATATTCTGTAACCAGGACGGCCATGTCTGAAGTAGCAAACCCTCGTGGTGCCTCTAGCACGGTTATTTCTGGTCCAATCTTGCCAACCTCGTGCCAAGTTTCCAGCTTCAAAGAAACTCATGAAATTGGAACCAAATCTTCTAATAGTGCGATCATAAACCAATATTGATTCACTATAAGCCTGAGCGACAAATCTAGTTCATTCTTGAACTGTGTGTCCTATTATCCTACAAAGATGACAGTGTTAGAAATATTCTCTCATACAGACATTCAACCTCTACCATATCACCTGATTCAAGATGTACTCGAATCCTCTGTATCAAAGGCATCCTTGGATTAATCATCGCCCTTACTCGAAGAAAGTTGAGATGGCTTTCCAGATTAACATGATTACGGATAAAAACCGCTTCCCAACAATATTTCCTAATGTTTTAGCAACCATCTCATTTTGATATTCTAATGGGAGATCCCAGAACTGAACCCACATAGGAAAACAGCCAACAATCATTTCCCTCAGGTGAAGATTGGGATGTCAGCGATCAACTACTAAGAGAGATCCTTGAATAGACCAAGGACCATTATCAACAATGAAGTCACGATCAACTTGGTTGAAAAAACTTATCAGATAGAAATTTCTAATTTTTCCTTCTACTCTGAAATCATTCTGAAGCCTCCAAGCAATTCTAAGCTTTCTATATAACCTTCTTGAAGAATAAGAATGAGCATCCAACAAGAAGGCAATAGCATAAGAAGCCAAGGAGAAACTTAGACGTCCAAATCCACCAGGATTAAGGAATAAAGACTGTTGAAACAAGCGATCTATCCAACCACGAGTAAAAACCCCAATGGTGAAGAGGATCATAAGAAGAAAGGAAAGAGTTTTGTATATGAAAGTAGAGAAACTTAAACAAAGAGAACAAGTGCGAGAAAGCATAAGATAGTTAAAAGGAGCGACCTTTAATATATAGAAGGAAAACTAAGAGGCAAAGAAGATCATCAAGTAATAGTGAGAGTGAAAAAAACAACACGCCAAAGAGGGAAAAAAAACCACAGATAGCCAGTAACCAAAAAGGATGACAGAGCACGAGCAAAAACACATGAAAGAAGAGAGAAGCACATAAAAGAACATCACCAATAAGCAAAAGAGGAGTGCCTGGAAATACAAAGATGCAGTAGGCAAGCCAATGTAGATATACTCAAAATCCAGCATAGGAAGGAGCATGATCAAAATACTGCCGCCAAAGGAGCCAATCAGATGAAGAAATGCCAAGGAGTGCGAGCAGAAAATGATTGAAGCTTGAAGGAAGAAAAGGACTAGTATCTTCAGAACCGAAGTAGCTTAACTTGAAAAGCTATCAACAAAGTAGCAGCAAAATGATGAGAAATATGTCAGCAAGCGGAGGAATAGAAGAAAGGAAGTTGAAACAACACTTCTCATACTAGATAGAAGTTAGAGAATTTTCTCTCCATAGGAGGCTCCTCGAAAGTTATTGCAATAACAACTACAACGAACATATTGGAAACAACCTCCTAGAAAAACAAAAACAAAACACCTAAAGATGAGAAAAACAAAAGACAACAGTTTGAAAACTTCATGCAATGGAAGTCCTTATGTACAAAGAAGGCTCAGCAGGATCTTGCATCAAAAACACCTTGGTAGCATTGAAACAATTGATGACAACTTTGTCATCCAAGAACAGATGGAGATTGTTGATAAGAAGCATACAACGATGGCATGAAAATCATCTGAAAGAAAGGAAATAAAAAAAAAAGGAAAAGCAAACATTAGAAAACAAAACTACCATATCACACACTTTGTCATCCATTACAATAGCACGGACAGACCTGAAGTCTGAAGACAGACTCAAATTAACCCACGGTCATTAACCTAAAAGAACTTGATAATACAGAAAAATCAACCGCGTGGGAGCCCTCTCGAAGTTCATTCAGTTTGTAAAATGTAGTTAACGACATCTACAACAAATGGAGGGAAATAAGAAACGAATAACACAATGAAGAAATAACATCCATACAAAATCCAGATTCCATGAATAGAAAAAATTGCAAGATTGAAATAAAAGAGAGAATAACCTTCGCAGGGACCAGAGGAGAAAGGTAAGGATCGGTTGAGAAAGGGAGAAATGAGAAGAGGCAGATAAAATGATCTTCGTTTTTGATAAAGATATCAAGATGCGACTGAAAATTGAATGAGAGAAGCAGATAGACGCACGGGAACGTAAAAATTGCATTTATTTAATAAGAAAAAAAAAAACTTGACAAATAAAGGCATAACTCTTCGGTTCCTTTTGCAGGAGAAAATATGGGGAAAGAATGATTGTATTTATATAGTGTGAACACAATAAAACAACAATGTGAACCTAGGATGGGTTAATTCAAGTTTAAATGAAGTACTGATTGAAAGTGACCAATAAGGATAAAGAAGATTAGAAAATAGACCAATGGTATTTCAGCCTGCTAGGACTAATCAGATGCATGGTACAAGTTATGAATAATAGAGTTGATCGATTTATTGATACCAAAAAACAAAAACCCTAACTCCATTCATATCCTTTGCCATTGGGACTGTCTTGAAGTGTAGGATTGAGCTTCTTCGCATAAGATGATTTATGGTAGATCAGATAACTTTGTGATTGGAAAACACATATAAGGTGGTGGTTTACTGGATTCTTTTCTTGATTTTTTGTTAATATCTTTCCTTATTTTCATCTTCATCTTTTCCCTAAATCTCTTCCATCAGCTTTCTGTGTGTGTGTGTGTGTGTGTGGGTTTTTTTTTTTTTTTTTTAACTTTGGTCACTTAAACCGCTTAAACGAGTCACCCCATCACTTGTCCCAGTTTTACCAATTTGTTGATTGGTTTATAGGTTCTCAATCGGTTCAACTAGCTCACGATTTTGCAGCACCAATATAACTGGACGATTCCCCGTCAAATTGCTTGAACTGGCTGATCTAGTCCGATCCAATTCAGCTTTTAAAATGTTGATAATAAATACTCCCTCTGTTTTTATATAAAGTGTTTTTTAAAAATTTATTTTATCCTTAAATATAAGAAGTGGTAATGATATTTTTAAATAATTAAATAATTTTACCCTTGTCTTAAAAAATAAAATAGATCATTAATTATATGTTTTTTTTACCACTTTCATGATATTAATTATGAAATTATTAAGTGTAAAACTAAAAAATCATTATATTTTCATGAGAGTTCAACTAAATAATAAATTTTTATTAATATATAAAATTTAATTAAAAATATTTTATATATAGGGATGGAGGAAATACCTATCAGCTGAACAGATTAATCTCACCCTCGAGCATCTCATGCTTAACTTCAAACAAGTGTTTCATGCTTAACAAATTTGGTTATGTTTCACTATATCCCTATTTCATGGCCACATTTCTTTCCGGCTCCAGCTTTATTTTTGTCAAAAAAAATGAATGTGACCACGTAAAAACTAAATCGATGTAATCATCCAATTATGAGGGAGCACAGTGCTCATCATCTGAATTAATCTGGATCGTTCAAATTTAATTTAAACTGTTCAGATTTAACTATCTTTTTTAATTTTTTTAATTTTTAAAATAAAAATTTATAAAATTTTAAATAAATATATTTATTATTAACATATACTATTCATATTTAATTAGATTAGTCTAAATTTAATACTAATTTTTTATAATTTTAATAAATTAATAATATAAATTTACTATGAATTTTTTTGAATTTAATAGTATAATAAGTTAAAAAGTTTAAATTTAAATAGCACAGGCTAAATTTGTTTGGTCAATTTATAAAAAATTATAAAAAATTAATATTAAATTTAAATTTATCTAATTAAATATGAATAATATATGTTAATAATAAATATATTTATTTAAAATTTTATAAATTTTTATTTTAAAAAATAAAAAAAATAGTTAAATTTAAACTACTCAAATTAAATTTAAATAGTCTAGGTTGATTTAAGGGTGATGGACACCGTTGATGAGTGCCGAATGTGCTCTGCAAATATGACGTCATGTAGAAGAATAACAAGAGAAGTAAAAACGAAGGAAAAATATTTGTGTCCATAATTATGCCGAAGCCCGCAGCCCTCTTGTCTCAGCTATGGAGTTTTACACCCAGAAAAGGATAGGAGATTGCCATCGTAGATTGTACACTGTACATGCATCCATAATCTAGTATATCATCATGCTATCAGCTGACAAAGTCGCAAATATCTGAGAACCTCATTTTCTGGGATATCATCCCCACTCTCAATCCCCAGTGATCCACGTGAGAGCTCTTCCCACCGCCATGGCCCTCACTCACTCTGTTCCTTCCTCCCTCTTCAATGCCTCTCCTCCCTGCCTCTTCCCTCCCAATTCCCACTTTCACTCCGCATTTCTCTTCTCATCCCCCAAGCGCAAGTGCTTTCCCTCCCTGCTTTCCCTCTCTGCTTCCGCCCCCAGGATTTTCGTGGTGAATGCCTGCGATGATCAAACTACGTTGGTCGACCCGCAGCCCCTCTCGGGTCGCTTCCACACATCCAGAGGATACCCCTTGCCGTTTGGGCCCACTCTTCGTGACGGTGGCGTTAATTTTGCCATTTATTCTGCCAATGCAACCTCCGTCACTCTCTGTTTGATCACTCTCTCTGATCTGCACCTTGTCAGTTCATCACTCCTTTCTATTTCTTATTTTTTGCCCCCCTGGGGGAATATTTCTTCTTCAGTATATACAACGTTCAACATATTCATGAGAATGATGCTTCAAACATGACTATAGTTAATTTTAGAGACGGCTGATTTCTATTATGAACATACTTATATTAATGGTTCAATGTTTTGTTACAGAATAGGGTCACGGAGCACATTCCTCTCGATCCATTGGTCAACAAGACTGGGGATATCTGGCATGTATTGCTGAAAGGCGATTTCACAGATATGCTATATGGCTACAAACTTGGTGGACAGTTTTCTCCTGAAGAAGGACACTACTACGATTCTTCTCGCATATTATTGGATCCTTATGCAAAAGTTAGTCGGCCTGCACACTTCTCCTAATACTATGTTATAACATATAGAGAAAGACCGATTTCAAATTCTTATGTCTTCTTCTTTACTATTGAATTGGAGTACGCTCTAATATAATTCGCACTTGTCTAGGCAGTTATAAGTAGAGCAGAGTTTGGTGCTTTAGGCCCTGATGGTAATTGCTGGCCTCAGATGGCTGGTATGATTCCTTCTTCTTCTGATGAGGTACTTTATTCGATTAAAAAAGGAAAAAAAAAAAAAAACTTGAATGCATATCTGTGTGCTTGTATGTGTGTATGGCTATTTTCTCTTGAACTTTTTGAAAGCTACATTTTATTCTTCAATTGTTTCATGTGATATCAAATGAGTTAAATTCCAACTGTTTCTGATCAAGGGCTCATTTAGACTGCTGCAAATAGAATGGGACAAGGCTTTTTATTATTATGTGAAATGTGCAGTTTGACTGGGAAGGAGATTTACCTCTGAAATATCCACAAAAGGATCTTATTATATATGAAATGCATGTGCGGGCCTTTACAAAGCATGAGTCAAGCAGAACTGTATTCCCTGGTACATACCTTGGTGTAGTGGAGAAACTCGACCACCTGAAGGTGAGTCTCTTATTACTTTATAAAACCTCCATTTCTATGAAGGGGGTATTTGCAAATAGTCTGATTGCCTGCTAAATAAAAATAGTGATGTATTTTTACGAGGCACCAATTTAAAATGTTTTTAAAAGGCAAAAAATTAGAACACTGTTATTTAAGTTGTGTAGAAATGGGTCAATCAGATATTTACCACATGTAACTTAAGGGCATGTTTGGATGAGTGGCAACTCTTCAAGGGCTGGTATGAGAAGGGTGAAATTGTCAATTTGCAGTATATCCTTGTTTCACTTAAGTATTGTTTATGATGGCATGGAGTGGCAAATGGGAGATTCCAAGGCTTCTCGTTGTCACTTTAAATTCAAATTTTGCTGTCACTCCATTTTTTTTTTCAGGGGGAGGGGGCGAGGTTTGGTGTTTGGGAAGGAAAAAAATGTAAAAGATGATACAATTAGAATGATATCCTCTTTGGCTAAAACTTGTTAGAATCACAATCTTATTACATGGGCCATATTCGAAAAATAATTTAGACTCATTTCCATTTCACTATCCACCCATTTCCTCATCAAACTCCCAAAATGTGGAATAGCAATGGGCTTCTTATTCCATTCCATTTTGAGCCATTCAGTTCCATCCCCTTTTGAACTTCTAACCATAACCTAAAGTGTCCCCAGTTGTTGTGTCATATCTAATTTGAATGTTTGATACATGTCACATGGCTCTTTATTTTTTATCTTAATTTTTTGGAGTATTTCCATGTAATTGATGCAAACCTCTAGAACTTTTAAATGGTACTATCAAGTTGTATCGCTTTTAAAGGTTAAAGTTAAGCTCCCATTTTGAATTTGTAAGCATGCTGGATATCAGCTTTTAAATGGGTTCCTGAGCTTTGTATTGATTACAGAGATTAGGGTCATGTAAAGTTATGGTTTCCGAGTTTTGTTTATCTGTTGCATACAAACACTTTTGACATCAGCTAAGGCACACAATAGATTTGCCTTTTGCTTGATACAAGGTGATAAAAGTTGCTATGATAGTTGTTATTGAAATTTCAAACTACGTTTGTTTACCTTCCTGTGCCTTTTAGACAAGGAGTGAATATCAAACCTCCCTCACTGCCAGTGCTGTACTCTATAGCATTATGCTATTTATACCCTTGCATTGCTGATCTCATCTAGTGTTGTCAAAAGCACTTGCCTTAGCTCCTAGGGTGTTGAGGTAATCTAGCACCTCACATAGCATGAGAGGCACGAGCTTCACTAAGGCACTGAAAACTGAGTGCCTAACTGCCTATGACAGTTTTTATGTGCAGAAAATTGAGTGGCTTGATCATATCAAGGAGTTCGACGAGAAATCCAAGTCCAAAAACCATGCAGTACCATCTGAAGAAGTCCACGGAAGCTTTTATATTTAAGAGAACATTATAAAGTAGGCATTATAAAATTAAAACATTATTTAAGTTATTACTTTCTGAGGGTTTTGTAAACAAAGCTGAAAAAACAAAGAAAGAATTGAGTAGTGCATGCGTTTGTTGCTTATAAATTTAAACTATTATTTAGGTTATAATTAGGTTAATACTTTAATTTGGATAACTAATATGATAGACTTTAGATTGTGATAGAGGCCATTATTTTCCTAAGACATATCAGAGGAAGTCAAAGGGGAAGAATAACTCTAGTGGAAATACTTTAACTGGTCCAGGGACTTATCCGTCAGTCCCTAGCCGTAAGGAACAGTAATTTGTGATCTTTTGTCATGATTAGAATCTTTTGGGTAGTATGGACTGTGTGTAAGCCATGCTCAAGGTATTAGTAGTCTTTTGCTTGGACAGTGGGGGGGGAGAGGAGAATGGAGTTGTGAGGAGAGACCGGCCTCTTGAATGCCAGTGGTAGGGAACTTGTATTTTGAAGCTTGAAATCTAGTGGCTGGAGTTATCTTGATTTTATAGAGGAAATAGGGTTTTTGCCAGAATCAGAGAGTGTCCTTGTAACTCTGATTCGGTCCATTCAGCTCATTATTATAAAAAACCTCAGCATTTTCCTCTCATATTTAGTGTTGTTATTGTCTTAATTTAGTGTTTTTGTTGTATTATTGGTTGGGTCACATTAGATTGTTCCTTTTTATGTTTAATTTTTTTCCCCAACTTGAGCAGTACTGTCATCTTTTGTTAATAGCTTGTGACTGGCATTACTTCTACATTTATCTAATTTTTATTCATATGCGATAATCTTTTAAAATCAATATGAAGGCTTATTTCAATTTCTATTTATCTATTTTCTGTCTGCATATCATGTATTTATCTTATTGTATTGCTTTGATTTGCTTTATGAGTGCTCTTCTAGCATCTCTCACTCAAGGCATCTGTTGCCCGAGGCTTTTGTTAGGGCTAGTGCCTTTCACCTTTGACTACCTTCTGCATAAAGCATAGATATTCATCACAAATGGTTAACTTATTATTCATGATGTTAGTTTTCAATTGCTATAAATCCTTTTGCAGGAACTTGGAGTCAATTGTATAGAATTAATGCCATGTCATGAGTTCAATGAGTTGGAATACTTCAGCTACAATTCTTCACTTGGGGACTACAAGTAAGAGAAGCCTTGAAACAGTTACATTCATCATAATATCCTACTTTTTCTTGAGAATCCTGCTGATGAACTAAAATCCTAATTTGATATTTTCTGAAGAAATTGTTACGTTCTTTATCACTGACTTATGTTATGAAAAGTCTTAAGTGTCAATTGTAAGTGCTGCTCATACCATTGGCTTTTACTAAAAGCCTTTGAGCTAGCTTTTTTCTTCAGTTTCAAACATGCAGTTGCGTCCTGCATGGTAAGACATTAAAAATTTCCTTCAATACTGCAGTATAATTTGATGAATTCATGATCTCTTATGAATGGTTTACCACCACTTCAGCTCTATAATTCTTGTTTTGTTTTTCTTTAATTCCATAATCAACTTATGGCGATGCTGTATCTTTCTTCTTTTAGGGTGAACTTTTGGGGCTATTCAACGGTCAATTACTTTTCACCAATGATTAGATATTCATCTGCTGGTATACAAAATTGTGGCCGGGATGGGATCAATGAAATTAAGTTCCTTATCAAAGAGGCACATAAACGAGGAATGGAGGTGACCATGGATGACATGATTTTGTTTCGTTTGTATTTGTAGTTTTGCTCTCTGAATTTGATTATGTTTTCACTTTTCATTGCTTACTTGCAACCAGGTTGTAATGGATGTTGTTTTCAATCACACAGCTGAAGGAAACGAGAAGGGTCCCATAATTTCTTTCCGAGGCATTGACAATAGTATTTATTACATGCTCGCCCCCAAGGTATACCTATTGATATTTCTACACTTGATTTATGTGATTGTTGGAAGTTTTTGAAGTTCTGGTGGGGTTCAAAAGAAGACTTCAACAACATGTATAATTTATCCATGATTACATGGACTTAACTGATAACAAAGCACTAGAGAACTGAAGTTCTTTACTTTGTCTATTTTCTTGGTCGTCCATTGTACATCTATGCTTGAGATGGACGTGCTGTTTTTCCAATAAATTCTGCAGGACGTTTTCTTTATGAAGCAAGTCGAATTCAATACAGAAGCAGGAAATATATCAAGCAGGGGTAGCTGCAACTGAATGCTAGCTCCTCTCTCTGAAATCTATCTAATCTTCCTAACTTATTTGAATAGATTCTGCAATCTAAAACTAATGGAATGATTAAAAACAACATAATAATAATAATAATAATAATAAAGTAAATGAGAAACAGATAGTAATAAGAATGTAAAATAGTCCAGTAGCCTGTTGGGCTTGTATGGGCCCTTACAGTCACCAACACTTCACCATTTTTTGCAGGATCATATTTTACTCCATTTTGGACATGAACAATGTCATTCTTGGGTTTTATTCTGTCCCTCAAGAACGGCAATCTTTCCCTTTTAATCAATTTTCATTGAATGATCTTATATATATATATATATATATATTGATTAATTCCTCTTACAAAGAACTTTTGAGATTTTTGAGGGAAAGAAAAGATATGATGATGACAAAAAACATAAAGCATAAAGGGCACTACTTTAAACTAAATTTGAAAGTGATATGAAACAACTAGCAGTTAGTGAATGCTGCGAAAATCCAGTAGCTAGAAGCAATTCTCAGTTCTCTTTCCAATACGGCAATGGCTTAGGTGCATAACTGCACAATAAGTTTTATAAGAAACAAAATTAAAGTAGGTAGATGATTCATTTGTTTCATTTCTGTTATATGTTACCACTGAACTTTGTTGGGCCAGGCAAAGTTTATTGCTTAGTCTTTGTAAGCACCAGCTCATTTAAACTATGCTTCTTCCTTGGTTTTAAGTCTCTTGAATGATGGTCATATATGTTTTAACTTTCATTGTTCATTGCTTTTGGCATATGATATTTAGAACAATGCTCATTTTCTACAGGGGGAGTTCTATAATTATTCAGGATGTGGGAACACATTCAATTGCAACCATCCTGTTGTACGGCAATTTATAGTGGACTGCTTAAGGTATGCTTATTATGATTATCACTGGTTTGATTTTACGAAGTTGGTTTCTCTCTATATTTTATTATTAACTTCTTTTGGAACAAATATCCTGTTTCATTTTTGTTTGGAAAACTTCACCCTGCTTGGTTATTAAATGATTTTTGTCTTTTATTTCAGTGGGATTTACACGTTTGTTTAAATTGTCGCATCACAGTAGTACATGCAAATTTTTATCATAAATGTCGGATTTAGTAGTGTGTGAAAAGAAACCCATCACAAAAGGTATTCATTGATATTCCCTAGATTGTTGATGATTTCATATTGACATTATTGGCATACCAATTTGAGCATTCTATACTATACCTTAGCAGTTAATGTAGAACGGAAACAGAGAACCCAGAAACCAAAAATTAAAACACTTCTTGCATTCAAATTCCACACCAAAGCTGACAACCCTAAGAAAGGCAAAATGCTTCATATACCCCTGATTTGACCAGGCTGGCTACCTGAATGCAAGTTTCAAGTATGTAATTAACGAAGTAGTTAATGAATGCTAAATGTGATACAATTTATAAGAAACTAAAAAGTACTGTGTGAAAAAACTACAAAATGTGCTAATTATAGGTTGATGATTAATAATTCAAACAAGGTATATCACAAAAGCAAGGATTTGAATAGTCGCAATTCAAGTTCCAATCATTTCAAAAAAGCATATCTTAAGACAAGCTAAAAGAGTTTCCTTACTGCTCTGATTTTTGGAGTCTAAGCACTCTCGAGCTTGCTCTAATTTTCACTTTGATTGCAACCTGACATTGAAGAAGAACAAGGCACCAAGGAGTCCGGCAGTGGATTAAAAATTCTCTTTAGTGTGAGTAAATTAAAGAAAAGCAAAAAATGTCTATTGATTCTGACAGGCGAGGTATTTATAGTCCTCTGCACAAGGAAATTGTAGGAAGGAAAATAATAACTAAAAGAAACTTTAATAGTATTTCTCTATCCAAACATAGGATAAAATACATAACCAATACAATTAATATCCTATCCAGGGTTTTCTTTCTTCTGCATCAGCAGTGATAAGTCTTCTGTTTTTATATGTATCCTTTATGTTTATTGTATTGAATAATCTCCATTGATTTGCATTCTCGTCAGATTTTCTGTGTTGTTATTTCTTGGGGTTACAGGTTGTTGTCATATTGGTTGAGGATCTCACTTTTTTTTACATTGTTGCAACAGATATTGGGTAACAGAAATGCATGTAGATGGTTTTCGCTTTGATCTTGCTTCAATTTTGACCAGATGTAGCAGGTTATACCATATAGTGCACTGTTAATCAGATATTACTAGAATGCGATGCTTCTTACCGTTCTGATTTTCATCTTCCTGTCTGTCATCAGTCTCTGGGATGGAGTTAATGTTTTTGGTGCTCCGATAGATGCAGACTTGCTGACAACAGGAACTCCTCTTAGGAGCCCACCATTGATTGACCTTATAAGCAATGATCCAATACTTGGAAGAGTGAAGGTTTTCTCACTTCATTATTCAATCATTTAGTTGTAAGGCTTGATTTATATTCATTCAAGGACAAATACTGTACCATGATGAGGACTGGTTCTCTTTTTCTAGTTATTTACATGTCATCGAAGAAATTCATGGAATAGGTGAATCTTTCTTAAATTGAGATTTTTTTTCCCCCTTTTTTGGGGGCTGGGGTGGGGAGTCCTGATCAGAAATATAAATTATCAGGCTTGTGGTTTGCCTATTTATAGACTGCCCATTGTGCGAGCTGTAGATGCATAATAATAGCAGTGCATGTCATAAATAATACAGTTAACCTATTTAATTTTAGGATATTTAAATTCTGTACTTTTTTATAATATTCATGAAGATTAGTGAATATCAACAAGAGTGGACCAACTAAGAAGTCTAATTTCTTTAAATACATAAGGCTAATTAAATATTTAAAGACGGTTTAAAGAAGGCAAACAAAACTATTTCTGGGATAGAGGCTTTAATTGCAATAGGCACCTGTTAGCTTATCACCTTTTGAAGTTGGGGGAGTTAAAACTAATTGGCCAGATTGAATGCCTTGGCTAGTGGCCATGGAACCATGATTTGCTCTAATATATGATTTTATTATTTTTGTTAATTTGTTTTTATTGGTCAGATTTATCATTATCAGTTATATAGAAGTATTGGCAAAAAAAAAAAAAAAGTTAGATAGGTTAGTTTTCACTGATTTATACAAACTAGCTTATACGTACAAGCTAAAATATTGTCAAACAAGGAAATTGAGTTTCTTGATTTCATCTTCGCAGCTTATAGCTGAAGCCTGGGATACTGGTGGTTTGTACCAAGTCGGCACATTCCCACACTGGGGTATTTGGTCAGAATGGAATGGGAAGGTAATCTCTTGGCCATGCGTAAAAAGTTACTTAACTTTCTTTGAACCTTGGTGCTGTCTTGTATATGCATTTTCTTTCATCTTTTTCTATTCCGTTATACTACGGGAGTAGTGGTCTCATAAATGGATTTAATCATAATCATCTTCATCCTCCATATGCAAGTTTAAGTGCTAAAGTTTAACTAATTTCTGTGGGCTTCTTACCTCTATCCAAAGTGGTTATATGCGTTTGCATAATCCTCTAAGGTATTTTCTTGCAATGCCAGTATTTTATTTTATTTTATTTTTTTTGGGTAGAAATATCATTAGTTGTCTTTGCTGTTACATTACTTGACAAATTTCTAAAGCAAGTCATGATCTACAGCATTAACATTGACATACATTTGTCATGATGAGTGAGGACCATTTATATCAGGTATTTTGTCATATGCAGTACAGGGACACAGCGCGTCAATTTATCAAAGGTACAGATGGCTTTGCTGGAGCATTTGCAGAATGCCTTTGTGGGAGTCCTAATTTATATCAGGTTTTTCTGTTGTCTCTTGTGACTGTATTAGTTCCTTACGTATATACAACTAGCTCTTTATTACATGGGTCCTGCTCTTTTTATTTTTGTCTAAATGACATAAAAACATCTAAGCTAGCGATTGGTCAATGATTTCTCATATTACTTGATTTTTGTTGTTGTTATCCAGTTGACCTTTATGTTAATACCATTGTCTATTTTATAATGTGTCCATAGTTACACTGTATTTTGACTCAGGGAGGTGGAAGAAAACCATGGAACAGTATCAACTTTATATGTGCTCATGATGGGTTCACTTTAGCTGACTTGGTGACCTACAACAACAAGCATAACTTACCCAATGGAGAAAACAATAATGATGGCGAAAATCATAACAATAGTTGGAACTGTGGACAGGTAGATGTTAAGAGACATTCTCTGGTTTGCATTAAACAAAACCCTGTTGTGTTTCTGCTTTCCTCTCATGCTTGTTGGCACTTCATTGTTTCGCTGACCTGGATATTGTTAAATGACGATCCTAATCTCACTACCTAAAGCACTATTTATGCTATTGATCATACTTAACATATACTTCCACATTGCAATCAGTAATTCTAAATTGTTGCTCGTACTCATAAATTTTTCTGATGTGGACATTCATTGTAAAATTATCTCCATTAAAATCTGTCAAATTCTTTTCATATTATTTTCCCCCACTCCTTCAACCCTATATTCAATTTGAGTCAGGCTTTTTGACCATGACAATGAAGTGTTCTACCTTCTAATTCATCATTAAGATTTTGTATATATAATTTGATTTATGTTAAGTTGACTAACTAAGTGGTGTTAAGTACATACCAAAGAAAGCTATTCTTTCCGATTGTCTTCCAGGCATTAGTTTAACATTTATGCATTTACCATGTTTCCTGCTCGATATCCTCACACAGTTTAATATAGCTGTTGAATGTGGCCAGTTTTGAATTAGTTTTAGCTAAGCTGATATCCATATGTTTGAAGAATTTCTTAATCCTGAAGCGGTATTCTTGCTTTATCCATATCTTAATCGATATATATAATGTTAAACATGATATAAGGTAACTGTCTATATAATGGATGCATCTTCAAGGACGTATTTTCTCCTTTAGCTTTATAATGGGATGAACCGTGCGTGTAGATAGCTGCCCTTTGGTGCTCAGCACACAACTCTTAAGGGGGAACTCCTTATATGCAAAGAGGGTGTCAAGCTGGTTTACATTGTTAGACATCATAGTGTTATTTTTGGTTACTTGTTTCTGTTTGAAGTTTATTTTTGTATTTCCTGATTTGAGGATTTTTTTTTTTTTTTGCTTGCTAGATACATGTTAATTCTTCTCTTCCTAATAAAAATTCTTCTTTTATTTAAAAAAAAAATGTAGGAGGGGGAATTTGCCAATGCTTCAGTGAGGAAATTAAGAAAGAGACAAATGCGCAATTTCTTCCTTTCTCTCATGGTTTCCCAGGTTAGTCTACTTTTAAACCATTCATGGTGCATATAGCTCCTTGTGGGCCACAAACACTTATTTACATTTTACTTTACCTTATTATGATTTTGGAATTTCAAGTTGGAGTTTTCTTTGATGGAAGTTAATTTTGCTGATCGCTCCTGTCATATTGTACAGCACTGGAGAAACTGATCTATGAAACTAATGTGAATGGATCATTGATGCACTTTCTCAGCTTCCTTGTAGGTGATAAATGGATTATAATTCCATTCAATTCTGAGAAATGGGGAGGCTAATTGAACCTGGAGTATTTAATTGTTCTGGTGAAATGTGAAGGACAAAAGGGAAGTGATGGGCCTCATCATTAATAGGCCAAAGCTAGTCATGTGGGTTGTGTGAGATGTGAGGAGAATGAGAAGTAAATTCTGGGTTTTGGATCAGAATAGGGTTAGGAATCTATGAGTGAATTGAGAAAGAGCTAGCCTCTCGAAAGCTAGTCTGGTTTTTGTAGCAATGTGTGTTTTATTACATTTTCAGTACTATATATAGTTTAATCTATTAGCCTTTTAGGCCTATACCCTTTGGATTACTCTCTGTGATTGAATATAAATTTTGGATCTTGTTTCCATAATTTTGGTATCAGAGCAGTACAATCCAGGAGAGCAAAATAAGGGAATTTCGCTGGAAGAAACATGGAGAAGAGGATAATAAAATGATGTTGTGGGTGCTAGAACCGTTGCTGAAGAGTGGTTTGGTTAATGAATTTGTCTCTGCAACAACTGTTGCAGACAGCCCAGAAGAGAAGGAACCTGAAATTATTACAGCTCCTGAACCATCAGAGGCAATTCGGAAGGAAGTGGATCTGGAAAAACAAGAAAGTCGTTTAGCTAACAAAACTGGAGTCAATGGTGGAAGGGGCTTATAGTAGACGATGGGATCATTGTGTCCATGGTGAGAGCATGACTATGAGTACAAACGGCAGCAGCAATGATGGGCTGCAGGGAAAGATGATGATAATGACGACATAAACAGGAGTACCAATTGGATCTTGGATTGACTAGGGTTAATCTAATGGGGAAGAAGCCCAAAAACAATTTAACGCAGGGGACTTTGTTTGGCCTGTTAGAATATGCAAATACAAGATATCATAGATTAGGATACGCATGGTTCCTCTGTGATAGGTTATATAGGGTAGGCTATGTTGATAGGCTTTCAATAAGTTATAATTATCTAGGATCATGCTTTGTGTATTATATCCCTCAGTTGAAATAATTCATTAGACTTGCACTCTGAATTATTTTCTGTGAAAGAATATACACTCTGGAATTGTTTTCCATCAGGTAGAAAAAGTAATGTGAACTTAAGCGACAGTGCCTGCTCATATAATACAGAGAACCTTGAAGAAATATCCCACTGGAGGGAATCCAGAATTAATTCCGTTCAACCGAACATATTTAGATTACATCACAAGAGTTTATTTCCTTAATTAGTTAACTAACTTGCCAGATCAACTTTTTAATAATTTCCCAAAATAGTTCCTAGCTGCCCTTACAGGCTACATGTGCGGTCTTGTACAATGTTTCCAATCCCTTCAAAAGCGTTTTGACCTCGAGGTAGGAATGCAGGTAACTTATGTTGAAGCTCTAACCATATTCAGCAACCTATACCATAATATAAAGCCTATTTTTATCCTAGTTGATAAGTTCGTTCCATTCCAAAATTGCCAAGGCTTCCTCAAGGAAACGACCAATGGGATATGGTGCTGCGATAGAAGCTTCAGTATCCACACTCTATTTTGAACTTCCACTCTTAGATTCAACTATAATATATTCAGCTAGGAACCTTCACATTTGTGATTATCTGTATATTTTTCATTATGACATGCGTTAAGTAATTTCTGTTGTTAGTTATATCTATTTTAGTTCTTACACTTGATTTCTAATTTTTGTTAAACCCGCAAACTCGTCACTGCTTGCCTTCTTTGAAAATGGCTTCTGGATCACGATTACTATTTACTGACATTTTTTAAAAAAATTTGGCAGGGAGTTCCGATGATATATATGGGCGATGAATATGGACACACAAAAGGGGGAAACAACAATACATATTGTCATGATAACTATGTGATTCTCTGTCTACTAGAAAACTGCAAATTTCGCCATATTTTATTTCTATGGGTTTATTTCCAACTTTTTTGCAGCTTAACTACTTCCGATGGGATAAAAAGGAAGAATCCTCACCAGACTTTTTCAGATTTTGCCAACTTATAACTAAGTTTCGCAAGTAAGAATCTTTTACTTTCATTTTGGACTCTTTTAGCTTCATTTTCTGACGTTTTGATCCTTCAGGGAATGTGAGTCGCTGGGCTTGGAAGACTTTCCTACATCAGAGAGGCTGCAATGGCACGGTCATTTTCCTGGAATTCCTGACTGGTCTGAAACTAGCCGTTTTGTGGCTTTTACCATGGTATGATCCTGTTTTTGCTCACACGCCCTGTAGTTGACAAATCTTTTGCTTCATTATTGCATTGTACTTGGCTCTTAGTTTAATTTCATTCCCTGTTTCACAAATATTTCAATCCGTTCAGGTAATAATTGTGAGGTTCAAAATTATTTGCCCATCAAGTTCTCCATTTCAATATATACCACCAAAGTTCCAGGCATAGAATTACTCATCCTCCTTTTGTTGGAGTAGTCAGTGAATGACTGACTTATGTCCTTATTTGGTATAATTTGTACCCAGATTGACTCCGTGAAGGGAGAAATTTACGTTGCTTTCAATACGAGTCATTTACCGGTTACAATTAGCTTGCCCGAGCGTCCTGGATACAGATGGGAGGCCCTTGTAGACACCAGCAAGCCTTCACCTTATGACTTTCTCGCCGCAGACCTACCTCACAGAGAGATTGCAGTACAACAGTATACTCAATTCCTTGAGGCTAACCAATATCCAATGTTGAGTTACTCTTCCATCATCCTTCTACTTACTCCTGCTCCCAATGCTTAATAGCCTCTAAGGTACATTTCGTCATTATCAACTGCATTTTACTGTATAATGGAACAAATTATCGTGTAAAAAGAAACCGATCTACATCTAATTAATGGGTATATATTTCATTCGTTTGATCAATTTAAGATGTAACTCAAAAAAAGAAGACTTTGGAAGATTGGTTTTAAATCTCTTAAGGACCTAGGTTGACTTTAAGGTGCTGGTATGGTGGATTGATGTAAATATTGTTTTAGGGAAAAACATCAATGGGGACCATTTGAAGAGACACGACCTTACTCAAACAGGATCTGTTTTATAGACTCGTACCTTTGTATCCTTTAGTTTCAAGAAGACATAATTACAATAAAGGTCAAAGCTTTTTGAAAAATCACTACAGGTCTGAGGTCCTCAATTATAATAAAGTTTTGGGGCGTTGATTAATAAAATGCACGTACTTTTTATTAAAAAAAAAATTTGCTACCGTCACCATTGGGCAAGATAGTCAATTGGGTTTAACACTTTTAAGATTACTAATACCTCTTGGTTCGCTATGTATTATATAAATTTAATTTTCAAGCCTTTTTGTTTTTATGAGAATTGTTAGTTTTTAGAAGTGTTGTTGTCAATCCCTTGTATAATTAAGTTGTCAAAATTCAAAGTTGGTTTTTGGATTGACAATTTGTTTTTTGCATATTGATATGTTGTAATTTTAATTTTGACCAGTTATCTGACATGTCCTTAAATAAGTAAGATATTTGAATTGACAACTCAACTATAAGGAATTGACAACACTTATGAAATTAATAATTTTGATAAAAAGGTTTGAAAATTAAATTTATAATATGTATGTTTGTATGTATGTATTATTTTGGTATCTATAGGTTCAATGATCATCGAAAATTCCTTAAACCAACAAAAATGACAATTTGTTTTTGTTTTTTAAATGAAGCAAGAGTATTTTAATAATAGTTATATGTGCAAATTTATCCCAAAACTTTTTTTTTTCAGAGGTGCTTGTTATCCTTTACTTTTTGTAGAAGCAATGTTACCTTAACTCTCTAAAATGATGTGATGTTATCCTGTCATCAAAGTTGATCATTTTGTTTGATTGGATTTAATCATGTGACATTTTTTAAAAATTAAAAAAATGGTAAAGTTGTAAATTTACGTTTAAATTTTTTCTCCAATGGCACTTGGTATCCATAACACTAAGATAAAAAATTAAACTCAAATTTTTAACATTAAAAAACAATCAAGAAAAACAATCAAACCTAGATTTGTGTCTTAGTGAGTAGCCAGAATTTCTTCCATGAGATTTCTAATGTTTTTGTTTCATAAGTTTGAAAATTGTTACTATTAAAATTGAAACTTCTGAGTTTTTATTAAAAGTGCCTTATTTTATAGGGATTTTTGTTGTCGATTTTAACCATGTTTACTTTTCTCTACTTGGCATTGGTCAATTTGAGTTGTTAATTTTTTGTTCTTATTTTTTTGGATATTGTGCTGTTCTTGAATTGTTGGGTTTTTTAGTTATGTTCTTTATTTTCTTCCTCTCTACTCCTTGTCTTTGATTTTTCATCTTAATATTCTTGGTTTATAATACTAAGCACCCCTGGAGGAAAAGTTGAAAATACCAAGCTTCCTTGGAGGAAAAGTTTTAAAATAAATTTGCATATTTATCATTTTTTTAATTTTTAAAAAATACCACGTGATGAGTCCAATCAAATAAAACAGTCAACTATGACAGCAAGGCAACAATGTATAATTTTGAAAAATTCTAAGACAACATTACTCCCAACAAAAATTAAAGATACCAAGTACTTTTGGAGAAAAACTTTTATGGTAAACTTACACCTTTATCCTTTAATAATTGACGTCTAAAATTTTATTATAACTGAGGACCTTGAGCCTTCCGTGACTTTTCATAGAGTTTTTTGGTCTTAATTGCAATTATGTCTCTTTAAAGGGTCCTAACTGATATTCTTCCTATTTTTATGACAAATTTGATGCAAAAGATGTCTATGAAATGCTGCAATATGTTCGATCGATGTGAACATATTTGAGATTTTTAGACTCAACCATTGTCTGGGTGCTGTGCCTTGGTTTGCTTCTCAATTTGATGGACATGCATAAGTCGATGTTGAAGAAGAAAGCATACATCCGTGTCTGCTATCCTCTTTAAGTCTTGGCACTTCAAAAAGGTTTCTGGTCGCTTACTCGAAAACTAAGTAAATGATGAAATGTTAGGTCTCAAATGAAGATACCGATATTGATGGTATCATGTTAAGATAAGGCCCTGCTTAGAGCTTATAAAATAAATCTGGTCTACCGTTGCTCCAACCAAATAACTAGGAACTTGTGTCTTCGACTCCTGACATCTAGAAATGCATCGTTTTTAACACAGCCAATCGAATAGCAGGGAAAAATAGTCCTTGCATTCAAAATTCAAAACTTGTACTAATCAATTTTTTTTTTTTTTGTTTAAACTTCAAATGGGCAAACCCTGGTCTCCCCCCCTCCTTTTTTTTTCCTTTCAAAACAACAAAACCAAAACAAAAATCCAATTCCACGGACATGGGAGAAGGCATGCCACCATGGAAGCTACTCATAAATAAAATGGAAAAAAATGGTGGTTCCCCAACGTCCTAGTGAGGACCTCTTCCTGCAGTATCATCCTCTGAACTCGTCCTTCCAAAAGACGCGTACTAGATTCCTCGCCAACTGTGATGAAGGTAAGTCAAAGTGCAGCGCCAAACTAAGTTGCAACATGTTTACATACATATCCAGCTAGTCTCCTGAAACATATTTTTTCTCGTCGTAGTATTTCTTCTCGCTCGTAGCCTTCTTAGCATTGCGTTTCTGCAGCACAAGCAAAAGTGGATGCAGAAATATTTGATGCAAGTAAAATTTTTCGCTGGAGAGATAGTATCATGCGTCAAGAATATCATTGATGTGAAATATGTAGGTTGCTCCAATATCGAGGAAGCAAATGAAAATAACATTACCTTGTAAGCTTCATGGCTGGCCATTATCCTTTGGGCCACTGAAGTAGTGGTTATTTCCTTTGGGCTATCAAGTAACCGGAATATTCCCTTCATCTTGGGTACCTTGTATGGATCAATATCACTCTGCAAGGCAACGATTTTACCAGCATGTCAAATGGAAGTCAGTATTTTATCACACGTGAAGCTTAAAAATGATGAATGAGCTTACATTTTGTGACTTTTCTGCGACTGTGCCATGAATAACTAGGGAGATATTGAAAGTTGTAATCTGTTTCGAAAAAATGTATACCTCGTTATGATGAAATATGCAAATGATATAGAAAGACAATACAAACTATCCATGACGATGAGATCAGGGATTCAGATGGGATAGACAAGCCTGAAAAAAATTGAAATAGTTGCCGGTTGAAATATCAGAGCAAACAAAACAGACTAGTATAATTCGCTTCAACGGTGACAACACAACAGGGCAATAACATAGATCCGACTTCCAAGTCCTCAATAATAATATGATGGTAAGAAACAAGAGGAAGGAACCATTCATTTGCTAAAGAAGGTTTGACTCATCATGACACATAACTTGTCAAGATGAAACCTTTCCTCCCTCCCTCTACTCGTATGTTCATATTATCTATAAAATCATCATATAGCAGTCATATTGAAATTAACAACTTAAGTGTACAGTCAGTTTCTGTACACATGCACCAGGAATAATTCCAAATAAGATATTTTCATAATGATAAAACGAGAGCTACTTCAATGTGATTCAGAAAATGTGATATCAAGAACTTACCATATCATTTGTAATTTCCCAAGGTGCACCTATAATAACTTCATCAACATAACGACAAGCCAGCACACTGAGACTACGTTCATGTAATTGCATAATTGGATAGTGGCTCCCTCGATGTTCACTACAGGAAAGTTGTTAATTTCTTATCTACCCTTCATGATAACACCAAAATAAGCCCCATACTTAAGTTCTGCATGATAACAAACTGCATACCTCACAGTCTCATCAGTGTGGACACCAACTAGAAGAAAATCTCCAAGCTCCCGAGTCCTCTTAAGAATCTATAAGTAAATGATTTAATGATCAGAGAACCATATACTATATAACAGAAATTGGATCACATTTCGCCTTTAAAATATAATTTTATATCTTGATATCATTTAGTTTTTGACTGCGATAATACCAAGTTAACCCCCCATATAAATCTCTTTACCTCAACGTGCCCTGCATGGAAGAGATCAAATGCCCCATCAATATAAACAATACGAGCATTTGGTCCAGGCCCCTATAATTAAGATAAGGAAGAATGAGTCAATAATTATTTTCTAATGGGGAAAAACCTTCAAAACTAGAATATAAGAGGACAGAGCTCCTGCAAATTTCAAAAGGCACATCTCTGCTCTAGATATAGAGATTTACTAAACAAAGGTCCCAAATATCTTATATATATTCATTCATAGAAGCACTATATCACATTCTGTAAATATATATTCATTCATAGAAGCACTATATCACATTCTGTATGTACTTATCAATTGATATATCTCCGAATGTATTAATAGACACAAATAAATATTCAATGAAGCTTTATTCCACACTAAATTCTGTTGTGATCTGCATTAGCTGTATTAATAGATACACTTAGAATCCTATTAAAATGATAGAAATCCCACAGAGTGTAGGTCCAACCAGAAAAAACCTACCAAGAAAAAAAATGGGAGAAAGCGATAGGAAACTCACATGCACTCACTGGTTCCCTAGCTTTCGAGAGGCTAGAGTCTCTTACTCACAAATACTCACTCTGCTTAACCCCACACTAAAACGTTCTACCCAAATACATTCAGCACACAGCCCTCTTTCTCCCTTGCTCGCACAAACTTCACACATTCTACACTTGGGATTGGCCCATTACATGTGGACCCATTAGCTACAGGTCCATCAGTGGCATTTGAGAATCAAGAAAGAATCCGTCATTGCTAGAAATAAAAATTTTACCCAATTCTCCAAGACTTGAAGTTGAATAAGACAGTAGAAAGTTCCTGAATGGAAAAAAGAAACATTTATTGAATGACAAGGACAGTACTATATTGCAAAGACCTACTGCCCATGGAAAAGACAATAACAAAATGTAAAGACCATCAAGGCCAAAAGGTAATGGCTTGTTTGGTAGCAAGGAAGAGCTTTTGATGGAAGTGGAAGTGGAAGTAGAAATAAAAGTAGAAGTGGAAGCGGAAGTAAGATAAAAAAGTATATTTGGTATGTAAATGAAAGTGAGATAAAAATTTTATTTAATAAATATATTTACATTTGAAAAGACCAGAATACCCATAAAATTAAAAAAAAAAATTGAAGCACAAGCACAGATCTCATCGACACCAAGAATGAGTTCAAAAAGAATAAGATCTCATATGTATGTTTGAAGGGTCTAATTTCTTGGATCAAAATTCATGTGAATATTGGTGGTGGGATAAGATCTCCATAACGAAAAGCTAGTTTGTCTCTTTTCTTTAAACCACATAGCACGGCTGCTAGCAAGAGGACGAGAGGGACAAGCACTTGCCACCAAGTGACGAAACAGATATCTCACCCCTCTCTGCCATAGTTGAAGTCACTCACTTCGATGAGTTCAGGAACTTGCTACCTTTACTGATGAGTCCAGTTGCCGCCGCCGAAGCTTATCACCATCATCTCCCTCTCAGTTGTTGTCGCAGGGGAGAGCCATCAGAGAAGGATGTGATCTGGCACTGAAGTAGAGGCAAAGGAGGTGGGTCATGAAAGAGGCTTGAAGGGCAAAGATGGAAGTGGGAACGATGGAACTGAATTCTTAAGGGGGTATGATGGAAGCGAGTTCCGTCATTTTTAGTGGAAGTGGGTTCTTTGGAGAATTGGGTTCATGCACACCAAACAAGCAAATTTCAAAATTCCATTTCCACTTTCACTTCTGTAGTCTCAAATCTAACATACCAAATGGGGCATAAATAATTGACATATGTTGGATTAGATCAATCCACATATACATAATAAGATAGGTATATGACATCAGAACAGGAACTGTACAAAATATAAGAAGAGACTAAAATTCAACGATGAAATAAATATTGTTTGACTAGTATAATTACAGACAAACACAGTTGGGCATAGGCCACACAAGCAACATATACCTTGCCATTTGAAAACTGGACAATGCGTCGGGAAGTTGGTAAGAAATGGGCTAAGTGAGCACCCTTCATCTGACTTTCTTCTTCAAGCCTTGCGTCAGTGCCATTGTGATCCTTGCAGACTTTAGCATCTCCCAGAGAAGAAAGTATTCTTCCTGCAAATCAAAGAAACAATATTAGCAGAAATGCACATGATGAGCACAAAAATGGTCTGCTGAGATTAGCTGGGTACAAGAGAATCGCATCAATTAACATGCTGTACAAATTAGAGAGAACCTTAAATAAGCTTTTGAGCTAAAATAACCTAATTGTCACACTTGTGTGTGCACAGATACAAACGCACAGATTTTTTCCTTTCCTTTTTCCTTGCCAACCAATAGTTGCTTTAACAAGAGATTGCAAAGAGAAAAGTCTAAGCTTAGTCATCAGGAACTCAATAGAAATAATCACCATTTTCAGTACTTCTGACATTTTACAAATATATATAGACAAACTCAGTACCTACGATATCTGTGCTGGAAACTCCTTCGGTACGTTTAATTTGCTTATAACGGCCAGCTTTCTTTGCCAAGGCATAAGCATCTGTTCCATCTGGAAGTAAGCAAGGATCATCACCGTGTATGATATAGTCCACTTTGTACTCATGAAAGAGACGATTCATGAATTGCTCAGTGATTGCATAGGGAGCATCAGTTATAACTTCATCCACCCACTTCAATCCACTCACAAGGGCCAGCCTGGAAGATTAAACACATTTTCAAATTGGAAGCGCACTTCCATATTGCAGATTTAAAATTCACTAAAATATCGTTTACATTGAGTAAGGTTAAAATCAATTTTCAGGGACTAATCATATAATGTTCCTCTAAACTTCAGGAGGCTTTTACGAGCTTGATTAGCACTAATGTCTCTGATGCAGTTCAATTTTCTTTCATTGTCATGCGCTATATAATGGATTTATAATAGAAGTGACTAGAGCAAATTGGTGGATTCAAAATCTCAAAGAACTTACAAGTTACAACAGCCAAATCTCAGCCCCAATCATGCTTAATATATGGGCCAGGAGCAACTACGAGTGAAACACTTACCTACATAATTTTGCATATTTCAGAGGTAAACTTGAGACGCCAAATAGGTAAGCAATTCTGGTAGCTTGTAAATCAAAAGTATGCCCATAAAAAGAAACAGCTAACGAAAGAAAAAGAGAAGATGATGCAAACATCGATTCTTATGATTAAACTCCTTCGTGATCTTGCCTAAGAGTTGGGAAAAACAAGGGGTAATAGATGAAAAAGGATCACCCAACAGGGAACAAAAACCTAAAGTATGCACAAAAATTAATAAAACGAAATAATATACCTCTCCTCCATAGACAGAACAGGCGGACCTTTATTGGCCAAGATCTCCTCATCACTAACAAGACCTACAATTAATTCATCCCCAAGAGCTTTTGCTTGTCTGAGAGCATTAGCATGGCCATAATGCATCAGATCAAAACACCCATCCATATAAACCCGAACGCACTTTTTCCCACTTCTCTTTTTGCGGAAAACTCCTAAGCCAGACCAGGAGTATGGCAAAGAAGGAACCCCAATCCCTCCAAAATAACTAGATGAAAGTCCCAGCAAGGCAGCTGTGAGCATTAGTCCACCAAATAGATGTGGGCTGCAGGACACCCCGTCCCAAATCCAACCGTTACCTTCATAATCCATGATTGCCTCTATCTCTATCGCCAATTCGGCGCACCTCAGAAAATAAAATCGATTTGTGGGATGAGACACAGATGACGGACCTGCGAAAAAGCTATCATGATTACACATTTGCAACCTCATTCAAAGCAAACAAAGGATAAACATAACGAGAGAACTCTAATTCATTTGAGAGTATCAGCCATCAGGGAGAAGATTCACGAAGAAGGCGCCAATGCAAATCCTTCCCGACTCATGAGAGGCACAATTGCAAGTCAAATGTTGATTGGTGCCATACATATATATATATATATATCAAATAACAAAAAATTAGACTTCAGATCAAGGAATTCTGAATCTAACTCATACACTTTCCGCCTTGGTAGAAAATTCCGAAGACAACTCTTCCTGATACAGAGCAAGTAAATTTGGAAGCATGCGTCAATAAAAATCGAAAGATACTTCGAGGAAACGAAAAGGAAAATACGTAAATTTCTGGAAGACAAACAATTTTATGGTAGGCAGAGAAAAAATGAAAAAGGATGAAAACTCGGGAAGGAATCGAGAATAACATAGAGGTTTCATGCTTTGAGCATTGGCCATGCGCCCTGAAAACTGAAAAGGATGGGTCGGGTGTGGGATCGAATTTTTACCTTTTCCGTTTCCGTTTGTCTGTGCTCTGCTCCCTCTTTCTCCGCTGGATTCCAATGGAAGAAACGTCTTGTCAAGCTTTGCAAGGAAGAGCTGTCTAAAATAGATGCTACTTTGTTGAACAACCAAAAAAAATGCATGCAAATTAATTATTAATTAATATTTTTGATGGAAACAAATAGCGTAAGTATGACCGCATAATATCTTTTTTATATTAAGTATTATTATTTTTTCTGATTTTTATATTATTTATCATTATTGCATCATGTGATCTCAAATTCTCAATCAATGCCGTCTTGATTTGATTCTTTCATTTTTAGGGGTATGGGCTCTTGGGGTGCGTTTGGATTTGAATTAGAAAAAATTAATTATAGAAAAAATTGATTATTAAAATGTGATAATATTTGAATAAATTTTTAAAAATTAATTTTAATAAATTAAATATGTTTGATGATTTCTTAAGAATAAATTTTGAATATGCAAATAAATTATATAAAAAAAGGAATCAAATGGAGATTTATAAATGGAGAAAATTTTGACTTCTTTAAAATGAAATTTCTCAAGTCAAATAAAGTTTTATAAAATGAGAATGTTTGGATAGATGTTTGCAAAATCATGATTTTGATCTTAAAATTAATTTGGAATGAGCATCCAAACAAGCCCTTGGTGTGAAATAGTAAGTCATTGTGACATTGCGTTGGAATATGAAACGTTCGCACGAGCCACTAGGAGACCCTGCAATTTAATTTGATTTGAATGGTTTCGCATGATAATACTTTTCTTCCCCGATTTCAACCTTTTTCTGGACCTTTTCTTCTTTGGATAAATAGCTTATTATTGATGATAAATATTTGTTTATCTTAAATATAAAAAATATTTGTTTATCACAACGAACATTCTTAACTAGAAAAGCCCCGTTTGTTCAAAAAAAAAAACTAGAAAAGCCCCGTCTACATAAAGAATGCACGATTATGTTGCGAAAATAGAAACCCAATAGCGTATTAGCTTTTCAATAAATTAAAAAAAAAATACAAGAAGTGATATAAGAAAATGTCAATATACAAAAACCCAACTTTTATTTTTTTATAACTAAATATTCAATATAAACAAAATAATATTCATATTTTCACAACACATAAACTAGTGCTTTGGATAAAGATTTTCATGATAATGGAGAGATCATCAATTCCCCAATTCACATCTGAATATCCCATATAAACAAAAGAACTATCATAATTTCACAATAAATAATCTTCTACAAAAACATCTATTACCAATTTAGAATTCAACAAGCAAATTAAATTATATCAATAACCAAATCAGATTATATCAATAATCAAATTACAACTACAAAGTCCAAAGAACAATCCCATCATTACATGCACGCGTGCATATCTATATACACATATATGTATATGTATCTATATACATATGTACGTGAATATACATGTATATACATATGTGAATATATAGACATGCATACACGTCATATGTATATATACATATACATGTATATACGTATGTATATGTACACACATATACTTTTATATTTTCACAATACATATTATAGTTTCCACATCACAAAATCCATTTGGATTCATGGGCAATTTCAAATAAAAAAAATTTAACTTTTACTATGTGCACAAGGCAAATTGCAAATTCAATTCATAAACTAATAAAACCCAAGCCAAAGGCTTAGTGAAATACTTGCTCCAGTTGACTTTCTACTTACAATCTCACACAGTTTTAATGCAACCATCTCCCAACATGCATGTGCAAGAGGGAGAGGGAGAGAGACGGAGGAAATATGGGGAAAGTAAGTTTAAATCACTCATCATTTGAGTTCCTACAACCACATATCCATAGGCACCAAAGCAAAGTCCTGCCTAGATACCCTTGCTTCACCATCTTCATGATTTTGGGTTGAATCATGCTCTCTCCTAAGATTGAATATAAAGCTAGAGAAGGAAGAGTGAGGAAGAATAATGGTGATATGAGATTTGCACGTCCTTGCTTTTGTCACTGTCAGCCCCACTTGTGATCTACACAAGACGAGGATAGAGAGAGAAGAAAGAGTGAGGAAGAAGACAGTCATTAAATAGATGATTATGGGAGGGCAATTGAGTTATTTCATTAAAAAAATATAATTGCAAATGATGTATTTGAACTCTCAAAATATTTCAAGTAACAATGGATCTTGTATGTAATTTTCTTGCTTCTGGAGGACTTGAATATGATCTCGTACTTAAACTATAATCTATGATTTTATAAATTATAAATAAATGTGAGATCCTATGCTTAAACAATCATAGTTATCATTAGGGATGTACCACAATCACCATAATGGGGTAATTGCCCCCACAACCCAAAAGAAAAAGGGTTAAGAGTCAATTTTATACCTGAACTGGTTATGAAAGCTCACAAATAATCATAAACTTAATTTGAGGTCAATTTCATCCCTCAACTTTAAAGTATTTGCTGCTTGTGCCCTTGATATTAAGCTGTACACTTTTTCTGTTATATGGGTCTCACATTTAAAATTTTTTAAATATTTTTGTCATAAAATATTATATAGTAGGTCCCACCATTGTGTGTATATATATATATATTATAATATAAAAATCTCTCTCTTTCCTCTATTCATCTCACTATGCGTCTGTCTCTCCTTCTTTAGTAACTAAACCCATTATCGTTTCCTTAGTGACTGAACCCTATGAAGATGAAGCATACCAATAAAGAGGAGATAGTTTAATAGCCCGATGATATAGGGGATGCACGAGAACTCCTCTGATCTTTTCTTCCTTATGACCCTCCTAAAAGTGACCTTGAAGAAAGAAATCACAGCATAGCATATGTTGAAAGAAATCACAGCATAGCATATGTGGGATCAGCATAAAGGAGCAGTCAAGGTTTCACATTCTTCAAAGACAGGAAGATGACAGCGTAGTGGAATACTAGAGATAAGAGTAAAATAACATAGCATACGTGGCAGCAACATAAACGGAGATTGAGGCAACATTCTTGTTAACTTCTGGAATCGACATAGAAGTTAACGAGTTGAGTCCTTGAACTGGTCGTGAACGTGAGAGAGAGAGGGAGAGAACTGGTTTACAAAGGAGTAAAGGAGAGAGGAAGTGAATGGAGGTGAGAGAAAGTGATTGTGCAGAGCTTCCTGTTGTATGTGTGTCAAAAATGTGTGTGTGTCAAAGTCCCACATTGACTAAAGGAAGGAATCTTCTAGTGTATATATACTAAGGAATGAAGTAGGCTAGTAAAATGGGCTTAGAGGAAAAGTGGCCTCGCACACATGAGACAGGCCAACTCAGGGCAATCGCAGTTGGAATCAGCAGATTCACCCCCCTACGCGCGAGTTCAAGAGATAATAGGTTCCTTTTACCGAATTATTTTTACAAAATAAATAATTATTTTTTACCTTGCCGGAGAAACTCAAATTTTGGCTGTCTGAAGTTCGAAACCAAACCAAAAACATTTTTTGATCATCAACCAAATTAATTTTCTGAACGTTTTGCCTTCCCAACGTTTCCAGACAGGAGGTTAAATGCTATTTACGTTTGTATAACCTCTCTATTTTCAGACAAGCTTTTAAATGATTTTATAACAGTGTAACCGAGCCTTTAATCCTGTGGTAACCCTCCAACGTTCATGTCCACCTTCGGGCTATATATAGCCATGCGTGCAGCATAGCGGTGTGGAGTCTCTTGACTGCTCAGTGTTCTCTCCTCCATCTATTTTCGTTTGTGCATTTGGTCTCGGTTATTCTGTTCCCTCGTTCCACTGAGGAAGTTCTTGTTTAATCCTGGGGAACTGCCGGTGTCTGACGATGTGCTGGAATAGTTCTTAAGGACAGTGTCCTTCCAAGCACGACTCGAGCAACCCGTACCTTCCCGTTCGCGTTTTTGCCGATCATCTCAACACTTCCAAAGGACCAGCAAGTCGAGCATCTTCTATTCTCCTCCAATCTTCATCGTCAGCCATCTCCCTCATCCTTCTCGAACCTGATATAAGATCTCCAATGAGCCTTAACGAGCTGCATGGTTTCTCCATTCCCTCTCTCTCCTTCATTTCCTCTCTCTCTCTTCCCATCAACAACAACTCTAGCAACTCCTTCTCGATCCTACCTTAGTATCGTCAACCAAGACTCCTGTGCAGACGATTCATTCTCTACAACAAGTGAGGTTGCAGTGATGATAAATGTGAATAATAAGAAGAAGAAGAAGAGACAATGCAAGAATTGTAGTTTGCCTTTATTACCTTCGCCACACCGTGTGCATTCTCTTAGAAGTTGAACACTACACAAATTGCACAAATCTCTAACGTTGTAAGTTACAAATCTGGAGGAAGGAGACAATGCTGAAGCTATAGCTGGTGAAGGAGCTTTTAAAGGTACAAGGATTTTGCATTTTCACTGAAGGAAGGTGGGGGGGAGAGAAAGGAGAGAGACGAGAGGAAAGAGAGAAGGAGAAAAATATTATAAAACAATTGGTGGAACCTACTTAAATATTTTATAATAAAAATAATAAAAAAATTCAATTATAAGTTCCAATAAAGAAGAAAACGAACATTAAAGAAATAAAGAATTTTGAGAGTGAAAAAAAAATTGATCTCAAGTTGAGTTTAAAATCATTTGTGACCTTTCATGACTAGTTCAAAGGTAAAATTAACCTTAATCCAAAGAAAAAATCATCTAGAATGACCTTCAATAATTTTAGTTGCCTCCTTAAAAAAATTTCATTTGCCTCATCAATTCAAAAAATTTCACTTGTCCCCATATAAAATTTTACTCTTCATTTCATACCGTTAAATAGTGCTTCCTCCAAATTACAATGTACGTCATTGTTAATTAGGTTATGTTTCTAAAAAAAATTAATTAAAATCTTATTTTTTGAAAATTTTCACATCTTTCTTATTAGAATAAACATAACATTTGACTCATCTAAAA